AAAAAAAAAAAAAAAAGAAATGAACGTGGGGACATCAGTACTGATTTTATAGAAATAAAAAGATTCAGAAGAAAATGCCATGAACAGTCGGATGCCAACAAATTGGATAACCTAGACGAAACAGACAGATTCCTGAAACACACAAAGTAGCAAAACTGACTCAGGAAACAGAAAATCTCAACAGACCTATCATGAGTAGATGGGATTACTAACCAAAACCCTCCTGTACGTGACTGCCTGACACTACGCTCTTGATGCCGAGGCGTCCACGTCAAAGATATCCATCTCAAATAAACACGTTGCTAGTGACCCGACCAGACCAGGAGCTGGGCCACCCCACCCATGAAGCTCCCCTTTCAGAAAGCCTGGGTGACACATAACCGACCCCTCAACTGACCCCACTTCTACCTTCCTGTGCCCTAATTCCCACGAAACCCTAGCCCTCACCCTCGGGCCCTAATAAAGGCAGAGCCCCAGATCCACTGTCTCTCTCTCTCTACCTGTGACCTCATTGTGCGGCCCTGGGCAGGCCGTGTACCCTCTAAGACCTGTGAGTAATAAACCTTGTTCTTCCAAGTGCCCTGATGATTTCTTGCTGAGGTGTGTCCTGCCATCATAATAAGAGCCACAAGGACCCTGAATAGCCAAAGCCATCCTGAGAAAAAAGAGCAAAGCAGGAGGTATCATGCTCTCTGATTTCAAAATACACTACAAAGCTATTGTAATCAAAACAGCATGGTACTGTCAGAAAAACAGACACACAGATCAATGAAACAGAATTGAGAACCCAGAAATAAACCCACACATCTATGGACAGTTAATTTTTGACAAGAGAGCTAAGAACACGGGGCCGGCCCCATGGCACAGCAGTTAAGTGCGTGTGCTCCGCTGCTGGCGGCCCGGGTTCGGATCCTGGGCGTGCACCGATGCACCGCTTGTCAGGCCATGCTGTGGCAGCGTCCCACATAAAGTGGAGGAAGATCAGCATGGATGTTAGCTCAGGGCCAGTCTTCCTCAGCAGAAAGAGGAGGATTGGCATGGATGTTAGCTCAGGGCTGATCTTCCTCACAAAAAAAAAAAGAGAGCGAGCCAAGAACATACAGTGGACAAAGTAAAATCTCTTCAATAAATGGTGTTGGAAAACTAGACAGCCACATGCAAAAGAAAGCAGACCATTAACACCACAGACAAAAACTAACTCAGAATGGATTAAAGACTTGAACATAAGACCTAAAACCATAAAGCTCCTAGAAGAAACCATAGGCAGTACGCTCTTTGACATTGGTCTTAGCAGTATCTTTTCCAATACCATGTCTACTCAGGCAAGGGAAACAAAAGAAAAAATAAATGGGACTACATCAAACTAAAAAGCTTCTGCAAAGCAAAGGAAACCATCAACAAAACAAAAAGACAACCCACCAAGTGGGAGAAAATACTGGCAAATCGCAAATCATATATCTGACAAGGGGTTAATTTCCAAAATATATAAAAAACTCATACAACTCAACAACAAAAAAATGAACAACCTGATCAAAAAATGGGCAGAGCATCTGAACAGACATTTTTCCATACAGATGGCCAACAGGGACATGAAAAGATGTCAGCATCACTAATTATCAGGGAAATGCAAATCAAAACTACAATGAGATATAACCTCACACCCGTCAGAATGGCTATAATGAACAAGACAAGAAATAACAAGTGTTAGAGTAGATGTGGAGAAAAGGGAACCCTCATTCACCACTGGTGGGAGTGTAAACTGGTGCAGCCACTATGGAAAACAGATTTCTCAAAAAATTAAAAATAGAAATACCATACGATCCAGCTATTCCACTACTGGGTATTTATCCAAAGAACATGAAATCAACAATTCAAAGAGATTTATGCACCCCTATGTTCACTGCAGCATTATTCACAATAGCCAAGATGTGGAAGCAACCCAAGTGCCCATCGAATGATGAAGGGATAAAGCTGTGGTGTATATATACAATGGAATACTACCCAGCCATAGAAAAGACAAAATCATGCTATTTGCGACAACATGGATGGACCTTGAGGGTACTATGCCAAGTGAAATAAGTCAGACAAAGAAAGACAAATATTGTATGACTTCATTCATATGTGGAAGATAAACACATGGATAAGGAGAACAGATTAGTGGTTACCAGGGGGGAAGGGAGTGGGGGCTCGGCAAAAGCGGTAAAGAGGCACATGTGTATGGTGATGGATAAAAACTAGACTATTGGTAGTCAACACGATGCAGTCTATACAGAAACTGGAATATAATAATGTACACCTGAAAGTACACAATGTTATAAGCCAATATGAACTCAATAAAATTTTTAAGAAAAAGAACCACAGGGCCAGCCCAGCGACAACACTGGCCCCTCGGTGGTGGGGGCTCACCAGTAAACACAGGCCAAGTGAGTGCCTCAGACACTCCCACCCCACAGCATCACTATTCACAGGCTGGGACCAACACAACACCTTCCAACAGGTTAAGATGGTAAATGTTACGTTACGTGTATTTTACGAAAAATAAAAACAACAAAAATGCTCACAACAAAGAAAAGCTCAGCACCAGATAGCTGTACCAGTGAATTCTACCAAATAAATAAAGAACTAGCACCAATTGTTCTCAAACTCTTCCAAAAACTGAATAGGAGAGACCACTTTCTAATTCTAAGAGGGCAGCATTGCCCCGATTCCAAAGGAAGATAAAGACATTACAGGAAAGAAGACTATAGGCCAATATCCCTTATGAACACAGATGCAAAAATCCTGGATAAAATACTAACAAACCAAACCAGCAGGGCTGGCCCATGGCTTAGCGGTTAAGTGCGCGCGCTCCGCTACTGGCGGCCCAGGTTTGGATCCTAGGCGCGCACCGACGCACCGCTTCTCCAGCCATGCTGAGGCCGCGTCCCACATACAGCAACTAGAAGGATGTGCAACTATGACATACAACTATCTACTGAGGCTTTAGGGGAAAAAAAAAAGGAGGAGGATTGGCAATAGATGTTAGCTCAGAGCCAGTCTTCCTCAGCAAAAAGAGGAGGATTAGCATGGATGTTAGCTCAGGGCTGATCTTCCTCACAAAAACAAAAACAAACAAAAAAACCCAGCAGCATTTTAAAAGAATTATATACCATGACCAAGTGGATTTTATTGCAGGAATGCAAGGGTAGTTCAACATACAAAAATCAACATATTAAACCACATTAATAGAATGGAGGAAAAAAACCATAAAATTATCTCAACTGATGCAAAAAAAAAGCACTTGAGAAAATCCAACACACTTTCAAGATAAAAATGCTCAATTGGGGCCATCCTGGTGGCATAGTGGTTAAGTTCGCGTGCTCCGCTTTGGTGGCCTGGGGTTCGTGGGTTTGGATTCTGGGCGTGGACCTACACACTGCTCATCAGGCCATGCTGTGGCAGCAACCCACATACAAAAGTAGAGAAAGACTGGCACAGATGTTAGCTCCTCAACGTGATAAAGTATGAAAAACCCACAGGTAACATCCTACTCAATGGTGAAAGAGGAAGCTTTTCCCCTAAGATCAGAAACAGGACAAAGATGCCTGCTTTCACCACTTATGTTCAATAGTACTGGAAGTCCTAGCCAAAGCAATTAGGCAAGAAAAAAAAAAAAAGATATCTAAATTCAAAGCAAGAAGTACAATTATCTATTTGCAGATGACATAATATTATATATAGAAAACTCTAAGGAATCCACAAAAAACTGTGAGAACTAATAAACAAATTCAGCAGGCTACAAAATCAACAGAAAAATCAGCCGTATTTCTATACACTAGCAATGAAAAATCTAAAAGGAAATTAAGAAAATAATTCTAGGGCCGGCCCTG